CAGCCGTGGCGGTGGCGGCGGCGGCCGTGGCTGCTGCTGCAGAATATATGAAAATCTTACCATCACAGTCATCTGACACATAACAATGGGGAAGTGGTCGTAAGCGGTCTCTTGAATCTCATGCTCGTCTACTGTTACCAAATTTAAGGATCTAGCTATTTCCGGTCCAAATTTTGGCAGCGTGATGGTCTTGTTCTCCGTTGGTTGGATAGCGCCTCCACGAGCAGCCGCATGCCTGCTGTTTGCTGCGCCTCAAACAATGCGCGCCATCCGTCTTCTGCTGGTGTCCGTAGATCTTCATTTTGTACCGGCACCGATCCCACTTCTGATGTCGGAGAAACACTTTTCTCAACGACATCTATAGTGGTTGAGGACTTGGTGATGATGACCCAACTCGATCTGTCTCCACTCTACGTCAAAACGCCTTATATACAGATGGTGCCTCGACCCCTCTCAAGCCCACCTGGCTCTGCTCTGATTGGTCGTTACTTAAATTACGATAATAATGTTATTTAGTCTAGGAAAAACGAAACTTATAAAGTAAGATCAAATTAAAAGTTATTAGAAGCTTTTACAATATCAATAAACATTAAACATTGCACACAATGCGTTAAACAGTAACTCAGTTGACAATGGCTACTTAATAACTTCCTACTTTAAATATATTGTTAGCTGAGGGTGGAACTTAAAAATAATGCTGGGGTGATGCCAATATAAGAGACCGCACCCTCATTTTCGGGACACACTCGCCACCGAACACTGAAGCCAGCGGAAGCTCTGCCCGTTTGACTAGCCAAAATAATTAAACATTTTAACTAATAGTTGATCAAGTTAATGTTATATTTCGAAATCATTTAAGTGTTAATTTAATTCAATCAATTTTGTTAGTTTTGTTATTAAATCATAAAAGTACTGTTGTAGTGTGTAAGAAAATTTTTTTTTTTTAATTTTCCCTGCTTCTGATCCCTCAGATCAGAAGTGGGATAGTGAAACTCCCACGTCCTGGTTTGTACATCCTGATACGATGTGTTTCCATTGTTATTTCTTTAATTGGCTAGTCATACGATCAGAAACATATTTTTGGAAATTGTAACAACCCTTGTTTAAAAGGACAAATTAACCCTTTGCTTCCGGTGTTTCGTATAACATACGTAAGTACGACGCGATGAGACGGTGTGATCAAGTTTTATAATGTCAACTTTGGTGAGTACGTTCCAATTGTTTTCTTTTCCGCTTTAAAATAACAAATAGAAGTTGTATTTGTTAGCCTTTTGTGTAAATTTTAGAATGGCTCAATTTTAATATTTTGTCGTGTCTATCCTATTGATCGATTATTTACCGTAACTTGAATGCCCTGCTTGGAATTACGCCTAATTTTAAATACTTGCTAAAAGAAAGAAAACATGCATAATAAGAGGCGGCAGAGTAGAAGTCGGTGGCAAAATCAGATAGATCTGATCGCATTCTAGCCAACATGATTCACGCTACTGACGACGTAGCCCTTCTAGCAATATTTTAACCGAAACAATGCAACAAATTTTGAATAGACTGGTGTCATTAGAGGAACAACAGGTAGTGTCTTCATCTCAACGAAAGGAGTCGAGTGGCCGCGCTGCAATGGAAGTAGCCAACTCCGCGGTGCCTGTGGCAACCATCAGCGCCGAGCCCGTTCCTGCCGTTGAGCCTGCCGTGTCGATGCCGCCGCCGTCGCAGTTGGGCGAAGCTGTGACTGCGAGCTCGCTTCAAGGGCGCGCTTCAGGCTTCAACGACTCCGTCCTCACCGGAGCGTCCCGCGAGCGCTACGTCAGTCTAGGCCAGCGCTGCCGGTGAGATCTAAAAATACAATGAACAAATAGAAGATGTAAGTTTATCGGGTCACATCATGTTTTTTCTAATCACTTCTTCTTACTGTTTCTCTCTATATGCATTTATTTTTACTTTATTTATTTTTTTCGTTCGTTTCCCTCCCTCCAATAAATCTACAGAGGCAAAAGAATCAGCAGTGAATTCAACGTGGTATTAATTGTGCAGCATCTTTAATTTATTAAAAACTTAGTTACTCCAAAAATCGAAATATTTATCAACAGGTAATAAAAAATAATGGTAGTAGTTTATAAAATCATAAAAACAAAGAATCAAAGAGTATATAAAATGCAAAGAATATCCATAATCCATAGAGATTCCTACTTGACGTACGTGCTATGTTATCTGTGACACAAAAATCATGTGCGCCAATGGCGTTTTAAAATTTCAAATCTCAACGGTTGTTTGTGTTTGCCAGTTGAACGTGTTCTTAATGAAATCATAGTTTAAAAATCTGTAATTTTTGAATTGTGTCGTAATTTATATCGAGGGATGGCCCAGTTCAACTATTTGAACGAAATAAATAGTTTAGCCACCATGGACGGGCCCATTACGAGAGGTCCTTTGCAAAGATGGATCAAGAAATCAAACAACGAAAATATAAATCCCTCGTTGAGCTCATCATTGAAGAACATTTCTAATGCAAACATAAGTTCTTGCAATCAATCGCTCCAAAAACTGTCGATTACTGCAAATCAAAGCTGCAATAACAGTGCGTTATCTAATAGCAAGACACCTACAAGAAATGAAAATAAGAAAGGCAAGAAAACTCCGTGTAAAACGAAGTCCCCAGGTAAGTCCTTATTACCGAACAGAATAAGTTGTTTTGGTATTTTAGGATAATATTTGATTAAAATGATAAAATTTCTTAAAATAAAGCCGGTTCTAATGTAACTTCAGGAAACTACTTACACAGATTTTTTTATTATTTTAACACAATATGTTGCAGGTCGTTCAACAACACCAACTCCCAACAAAGCCTCTAAGACACCAAACAAAGCTGACAGATTTATACCTTCGAGAAGCAATTCTAACTATGACCTGTGCCATTACATGGTAAGCGTTAGATTAAAATATTAACAAGAATTAATAAAATTATAATATGTTTGTTTCAATTCATACATAATTCAATTTTGTTTGCTAAACTCCTGAATTTTTTATTCTGAAATTTCAAAATGTATTTAATTCTTAGCATGTTTAAAAAACTACTTATAACAATTATTACACTGCTAATAAGTTTTACATCCTCTTTTATCTTCCAACAAAACGTTAATTTGTTTCAGATGAGCCGTGATGAAGAAAAAAGTGAAGAAGCAGTATCACAAATAGCAGCGACTGAGGCCATTGGAAGGGTGCTGACAGACACAGAGCCAGGCCGTCTACTGCAGTACACATGTAAAGCCCCTGCCGCACCTGAAGGATACCAGAATAGATTACGAGTTGTATACTCACAGGTATATTGATAATGCTGTTGATATTTGACTCCACTTCATTCCATTCTGTTTATTTTCAATTTCTTCTTTGCGGATGTGGGTACTTTCATATTTTGACAAAAATTCACTAACAAGTAATTAAAGACATTGCACAAAATTGGGATATATTACTATTGTTCGATATAAAATTGATTATTTGTATTATAATATTGTTAACAATGTTACCTAAACACAATAATTGCTATAACAATATTGAAAATTTGCAATGATTTTAGGCAAAAGTTCCTTCAACTGTGAAAAACAACACAAGATACATTCCACAAGCTCCTGAAAGAATACTTGACGCTCCTGATATTTTGGATGACTATTGTAAGTTTAAATGGTTCTTAATCTTTCTAATATTATAAATGTGAATGTTGAGGTGGATGGATGGATGTTTGTTAGATGATATCTCTAGAATGGCTACATGGATCTTGTTAAAATTTGGCATAAGTATAGAACATACTTCGGAAGAACACATAAGCTACTATTTATTTAAATTACGTGTGGATGTAGTCTGGGGCGACCAATATATATAATTTCTTCATTACTTTTTAATTCTTAACAACTCACATACAAACAGCACAAAGATTAAATCATTGTTAAACCTTGAATATAAAATATAATATCCAATTATTATTTCATTCCAGATCTCAATTTAGTTGACTGGAGCACATCAAATGTGGTGGCAGTGGCTTTAGGTAATGCTGTATATTTGTGGAATGCTGGCACTGGGCAGATTGACCAGCTCTTGACCCTGGAGGGCTCGGAGACTGTCAGCTCCGTCTCCTGGGTGCAAGGAGGCTCGCCACACTTGGCCGTTGGCACATCATCCTCAACTGTTGAACTGTGGGACTGTTCTAAAATTAAGAGACTAAGGGTGAGTAGTTGGGCGACAATTAAAAAACTGAAAGGGAAAAGAAATAGGATTATGTGTTCAGCATCTTTTATCAGATAAGAATATTTTATGCTTGTTTTTCGAGAATATTCTTTGTTAAAGTTACATTCACTACTTTAACTGTCAAAAAAAATAGATATTGTTGCTTTCTCTGAAAATATCCTACTTCTGTCACATTAGCTTTTGCTATTTTTGGATTTACCAAATCTCTAACATGTCAAGATTGTTCATAAACTGTTGCAGCTAATGGATGGTCACTCTGGTCGTGTGGGCGCGCTGGCATGGAACATGTACATCTTGTCTAGCGGAGGCCGCGACGGTAACATCGTGCACCACGACGTGCGACAACGCGACCATGCTCTAGCCACCGTGTATGCACATACTAGAGAGGTACACACAAACAGAAACTTTACATATCCCACTGATCCAAGAGTAAAGCAATAAAATAGTTCTTAATCCACATAATGCCATCATGTACCGCAAATACAGTAACTTTCTGGTTTTACTTATTTAAAATTGCAGTTTATGTATTTAAAATTTTACTATCTCTGTTGTAAAATCTTGTAAAATTCTCACTGAATTACCTAAATTACGCGTTTATCAGTAAAAACTTCTTAAAGAAGAAAATTAATAATTTGATGTACTTGTTACTGTATATCACCTATTGTGTATAATTGAAGGTGTGTGGTTTGAAATGGTCGCTGGACGGTAAATACCTGGCATCGGGCGGTAACGACAACCTGCTCAACATCTGGCCGCTGGCTGAGGGCCAGCACTACTCACAGCCACAGTATTTATACTCGTTCAAGTAAGTATTCACCATGTTATATAAACTTAGGAGCTTTATTCATTTTGGGTACCTCGGAATTTATTAGTAGAATACGAATTTTAACAAGAAACAAAGTAATTTAAAGCTAATATTAGTAATTTCAATATTACTAACAATATGTATTTCAGCCAGCACCTGGCGGCAGTGAAGGGCCTGGCGTGGTGTCCGTGGAGTGCAGGCATCCTGGCGTCAGGCGGCGGCACCGCGGATCGCACCATTCGCATCTGGAACGTCAGCACCGGCGCCAACCTCAACACCGTCGACACCAAGTCACAAGTAAACCCATATTATGATACCCCGAAACATGCTTACTGGCACCAAGGCTCGACCTTCTTGAAATACTTTTTTAATTTTGCAATTTGATTGTATACTAGGCGCTTAAGCTTAACATATAGCTTACACCCGTCGCCTGCGACTCCGTCCATGTGGAATAAAATAGAACATAGTTAGCCTATGTGTTCTTCCAGACTTTGTCCTATATGTATGGCTAATTCATTGATATCCGTTCAGCCGTCCTGGAGATACCATCAGTCATCCATCCACCCATCCATCCATCTAAACATTCGCATTTATAAGTAAGATAATAGAATAGATAAAGCAATGTATCATAATTCAACATAATTGATAAATTAATGTGAAATGTGTCAGGTATGTTCGATCGTATGGAGCACGCACTACAAGGAGCTGATATCCGGTCACGGGTACGCCAACAACCAGCTTATCATCTGGAAGTATCCGACGATGACGCGCGTGGCCGAGCTGAGCGGGCACGTGGCTCGCGTGCTGCACCTCGCGCTCTCGCCGGATGGCACCTCCGTGCTCTCAGCCGGCGCCGATGAAACCCTCAGGTGACACTCGTGATGACACGAGCCATATGCCATTTACACCATACAATCTGCCACTAGTTATCACCTATCGCAGCATACCATCTACAACTAACTTCATGTCACCCACTATACCACGCGTACACCATACCATATGCCACTGGAGACAAACCGAATGTCATTTAAACATAACTATCACCACTTATAACATCCCACCTAACACTTATAAGAAATATTTAAGTGGTTAGACTTTTAAAGTACATATAAGCAAATATTGCCTCTCTCAAGTAGCACACTTTAACAGTTCTTTATAATTTTCAGACTTTGGAAATGTTTCATGTTGGACCCGTCTAAGAAGAAAGGCCCCACCGACTCAAAGGCTGCTAAATCTCTACTGAACATGAACTCATTGATTAGATAATATGAATTGACTATACGACGCTTGTTGTGTGAACTTTTGACTGAATATTGTGATGTACACATTAGTGTTACTGTTGTAATCAATTAAGTTTTATATAATTAGGATCTTGGTACATTATACACTGGTGTTATAAAGTATTTTATGCCGCATTATTTCAACTTTGTAAAGTTGGTTAGATAATGTAATTTTACACATTATTTTTGATTATTGTTTTTCTAAAAACTTTTAAAGATATAGACAGGACTTTACAAAATGATGACATGTTTTTAACTTGGTGACATACAAGTATTAAAAATGTAAAAATAATGAATTTGAATTGTTATTTAAATGACATTTTGTAAGGACTTATCTATATTTTTAAATGTTTTTCAACAAGTGAAGTTGAGGTCGTAAAATGTTATGTATAAATACTAATTTTCTTTCTTGATGTTTCTGTTTTAGTTTTATTGTACTTTATCTTCTGTAATAAGTTTAACCGAGAGCATTTCTCAACCTCGGCCTCCTTGTCCACTAACTTTATACAAGTATTTTGCGGCTGACTAAATGTTAATTATGTTTTTACTACACTCTGCATGGTGTTTAAGACGATTTTAATGAAAAACTGTGTTATTTTATTAAAATAAAAATAACGAACCTTGATTTGTATTTGATTTCAACTCTACTAGTTCACTTTATCTATTTTTTCTTTAAAAATATAATTACTTAGGTAGCTAATACAAAATGCAGGGATATGGTTATATGTATTTGTAGCTACAGTATCTAATCATGCTGTATGGTATCAAATGACAAGAAAATTTAAATTAAACTGAAAAAGAAAGGATTTTTTTTCTATTTTTCCCCATAATCGTTATTGACCTGACCATACACCGGTATACAGCAGTATACAGCTTAATGTTAATTTTTGGCCACGTTCTGCACTAAGATTGTATATCTTAAAATGCTGCGCGTGTGCAACAGCCCTAAACGTAGCTGATAGATATTATTGCTTATAAAAGTTCTATTTTATATTTAAAAGAAACAATTCAATAATGTTAAAAATGTTCAAAGAGGGCGATGATGCCTTTCATAATTGTAGGCAACAATGGTTAAATAAGAGACCCACCACTTAATCGGATCATGGTCCCATAACGGAGACTAGGCCTAAAGCTAGGACGAACGGAGATCTATCTCTATCGAGAGTTTTCAAGAGATGCAACTACATTCGTTACGAGCTTCTAGAGCCTAATTTTGCCTTCAGTTTTTTGATAGTATATGTGGGCCGATCCCGGCGGCACTGCAATGCCGGGCCGACCCGTGACGGAAGTGGAGCGAGCCCCTAACATCCCGTCGTTTTACAAAAATCAGTTTAATATACTGGTCCCGCGATGCGGGAACTTTCAGATATTAAGCTGAAAAGAACAGATACTACACTTTGATCTTAGCCAAAAGGCCGAGAAGCGATGCCGAGGTTTTCACAACCGGCGAAACTGATTCCGTTGGTGGGAAACTCTACATCGCTTACTAGAGTTTTGAAGGAATAAATGAAGGCCATCTAGCGGTGAAATGATAAATTATTTTTAAAAGCTACTAACGCCATCTATTGAATAAAATTATCATCAAAAATCAAAGCACATAACTTTTTTTGGGTTAATAACGGGAACAATTATTTTTATCATCAACCTGCTTTGTTCCTACGGAGGGTCGTCACAGATGTACATACATTTTTATAAACCGTCATATATAAAATTCCCTTCTTACGCATATCCTCTTTATAATCACGATTTTAATCTTCGATATAAAATTAAATATGGATATTTGATACTAACCTCGCTCAAATTAACAGTAAAGGGATACAAGTCAGAATAATAATACATTTGTGTAAAAAAACATTTTATTGCTTACACTAGTTAATACAGTTGGAATGTAAAAATTAAAATTATACAACTAAAAAAAAAAGTAAAAAGTAAAAGCCAAAAAAATACAATGTGCAAATAAAATGTGCGCAATTAAAATAATAAAATTTGATGTGATGTCGTAATTGTGATAGAATAATTTAATGGAAGCCGAATGAGTGACTAGAGACTAAAATTTTAGAACAAGATAATAGAAGCGCCTGATAAATGCAAAGAAAGGAACTAAACAGTACATAATTTTTGCCGGACTGAGCCTGAAACAAAAAGTACATTAAAATTATTACAGACAAGCGACTTTGTCGAGTTAAAGTATAAAATTACTGGTTAAATATAAGTTAATTGTTGGTATCTCTTTCATTCTCTTTGTTAAAATAGAAACAACAATATCGGTGAATACAAGAATCACGGCCGTCGAATTTCACTACACCAAAATGATTCGATTTAGTTTCATACAATGTTGATTGTTAGTTCTATAAATTTATAATACAATATACTAAGCAAGTTACACATACAGTTTTAACTGAACAGTTTCAGCTGTATAGTAGAATTGTACAGTGAAAACTGAAGTCAAAATTTGAGTTGTCAGTTGACTGTAAAGTTTTCGGTTTTGCCTATACATCAGTTTTAACTGTAGTTCGATCGTAAACTTGAAACTGAACATGTATTGTTTGAAAATTAAATTATTAACACTTAATAGAAAGGCAATTTTATACTTTAACCACCAAAACATTAAAATACAAAATTTTAAAAATAACTTTCAACAAACAAAATTACTGCTCAAGAATATATTGAAGTTGTAAAAATTTGTTTGGAAAATATAACGTAGATTTGAATTTAAGTATTTAATAACGATTAGTTAAATTTTATTACTTCATGGATATAGATAAAACGAAACTATGTCCGACTATTATGCTCAAAAGGCGAAAATATTATGCTAATTTCTAAATTCATTGTACTTATTGTAAAACATTCATACTTGACTTATATTTCATTTAAATCACTTATTTCTTAGTTGCCACTAATAATGCTATTTCACAATTTAAATGTGATAATACGTATTTTTCACTAATCTCTATAAATAGATAGGCGATTGCTTATAAATTACAGCTTTATCTTTGATCTGATTTAAAAAGTATCCGTTGATGTAACGTGACAGTTATTTTTATTAATATTATTAGTTCCAATCCTCAACACCGGTACGAATCATTACTATCAGCGCCAAAATGGTGTAAATCAAATAAGCACAAAATACTTCGTCTTATAGCCTGTCCATTTATAGATGTCAGTGGTATTTGTTATCATTAAGTCTTGTTTTACAATGGACTTATTTTACTTAATGTGGGTTTTTAAGATCAAAGTCCCCGTTTAAAACATATCTCTGTTTTGTAAGATAATGACAGAGATGATATGTTTTACACAGATATTTTGGTCTCAGAAACCAACTGTTACATGCATATGTATGTTAAGAGCCTTATTTCTCATATATCTTATATATCTTGTGATTTCCATGACTCATTTTATAGACGTAGTTTGTAGCAAATGATTAATGTTGATATTGTGTTATTTAATCGTGTATTTTAAAGAATTTATTGCTTTTGTAATTTAGTAGTCATAGAATTAAGAAGCGCCTAGAAAATGTATTTTGATTGTTACAGGCCAACTTTCCCATACATACACGTATACAATTCTTATAAAATTATTGCCATTTTTTGTATAATTAAAAACACAACATTTTCACAAATTTACGATTTACAATTATTCTCTCATGGCTTTCTATATCTAATAAGAACACATTTCATATTAAAATAATACGTTGGTTAAAAAACTTACTACTAATTATTCTGTTAGTTACTATACTAAATTCCCTATAATGGAATTACTAGAACTGGGATTAAGTATATTAACCGTGGGTTTCCGAGACCAAAATCTCTGTATAAAACATATCATCCCTGTTTTCAATATCTTCTCTATATCTTTGACAACACAGAGATAATTTATTTAGAAAATATGGTATCAGAAACCTACGGTTAGTTAATTTCTTGGACGCATGTTACAATGCATCCAAAATTATATTTGAGCTGCTCTAGTATTAAAAATATTAAAAAATACTTATGCATTATTTTATTCGAAAATAATCAGTTTTGTTAAAAATTATTGAATATTGGACAAAAAATATAATTAATATTTTATTATGTTAAATATATATCTAACATTATTTGTTGTATTATGCAATTTACATTTCAATTTTTTTTTATTTAAAAGATATGTTAATAAAACAATGGACGCTATAAAATGAGGTGAGATTCAATTTAATTCGTATTATTGAATAACTTCAAAGATTATATGTAAATAAAAAAAATATAACCTTCTCTAATTTAAATAATAAAATTATAATAATAATACAAAAATAATAAAAAATTAAGATGTGATAAAATGTGATGTTCAAATACTGTCTATTTTTAAAGTTTAAAAACTATTACATCATTAAAAGTAAAAAAAGATGGCGAATATGAATGAAAATTAAGACTGTTCGATTTGGCAAACATTTAAAATAGCATTAAAATAAAGCTTGCCATACATTGTATTCATAAAAAACGTAAGTACGAAATAAGTACATTTATTATTGCTCACAAATTATTCATATAACGGACCCGAGACTACGTGTATGGGGGGGAGACCCCTCCCCCAACATGGCGGACATTGCAACCGTATTAGAAATAGGCTCCGCATCCCCTACCAATTGCTCATGACTCGTCGTCAAACTCACGCCGTATTTAAAACTTCGACGTAAACTCGAACGAATAGACTTTGTTGAGTCTGTTTTTCTGACAAAAGACCGTCTTAGATAGTCTCGTGTGAGGGTCAGGGAGTTCCTGGATGTCCTGCGGTCGGTCTCGTCGGTCACAGTGATGGAAGGTGTGGGGGGTGGGTATGCAGGCTGCGGGGTGGGGGGGCGCCGGTCCACGCTCTCGCTCACCGTGATGGGGATCTGTGCCGTGTCATCTGTTGGTGCATCTGTACGGCCTGATGTTATTCTGTAATATACATATAACATATATTAAGATGGTGTATAGTTTTTATAACAAATTAAGTTCCTACACTTTGTACTAGTAGACAGTCTAATTTTTAAGTAACTGGATTTCAGGCAGGCCGAATTTTAATGAAGAACATTAATATTAGTGTTACCTTCGCAATGTTCGGAAGCTTCTCCTCAGCGTGTTGATGAGGCGGGCGCCTGTGGCGGTGGAGTAGGAGGGCGGGGGCGTGTACTTGGGCGGGGGGTCGGGCGGAGCGCGCGGGGGCGGTGCAGCCGCGCTGGGGGGCGGGGACTCGCTCGCCCCGCCCATGCGCGGTCGGTACAGATTCTGTATACGCTGAAAATTAAAAACTTTATGTTGAAGTTCTAATTTACACTCAATAAGTGTGATTTATACAATGCATAAATGAATGAGAGGTTTTTAAATTGTAAAAGAAGTGTTTTTATACAACTCGGGTCAAAGCAACTAAGATATATAATTTATGACGATATGATAATGACATAAAACAACTAGATTTTTTTGTCTTATAACAGACATAAAAAAAGATTTCTCAGCGGGACGTTTTCACAATAAACAAAACGAATTAAAACACTATAGCTGACATCTATAATTAACCACGAACACAGCAAAGAACAAACGCAAATAATAAATTAATATTGTCGCTATCACAGTTATAAATAACTATTTCGTTATCACAATTATACAGATA